ATCTATTTCCTCCTTATTTAAATTCCGCAGAGAGAGGTTCCTTTTTCTTATTATTAATTTGCGCTAGCGTCACTTTCTTCCTTTTGTCTCGAAAGTAGGAAATTTCTCGAAGAAAAGAGGACACGATTCAGTCGAAAAAGACCCGGGGGCTTAATCACACTCTCGAATCCTGTTAACTCTCACGATTTTCTTCCTCTTTTCCTTCCTTCTTTATGTGGCTTTCTTGGAGAACTTCCCACGGAAAGCGTCACTTAAGGGTCATCGCGAGAAATTCGAGATGAAAGGGTGAAATACGAGAGCTGTAAGGGCACGGAAGCTTTTAGAATCGAGGATTTCCCGGGTGTCGAAATTTCACGTTTGCCTCCAATTGTGTGGAAACGGATCTTGCGGCTCGGTGATCTATCGATGATTAAATGTGTTGCGCCGCGTGGTTAGTTTTACAAAGAAACTATTACACTCTATTATTAATTTAATCGGAAAAAATAAAAATAAAAATTGTGAGCTTTTAGTTCCTTCTGCGTAAAAGTTGCAATTTCTTTCAATCTCAGTTTGCATCAATTTTTATTCGAAAAGTAAACGAGTTTACCGAAATTTTAAGAATTAAAAACTTTTTAAAAATTTTAAGATTCGAAGAATTTATTGAAAATTTTAAAAACTGTTTGATTTCAACACCGATTTCGATCAATTTCGATTCGAAAAATATGCGGTTGGTAACACTACCGAGATTTAAACATTTCGAAGAATTTTGAAGAATTTATGAAAATTTCAAAATTAAAAATACAAAATTTAAACATCGCTTAAAACAAAAAATTACTACAAAAATGAAAAAAATTCCATTACCTCGATTAGCCGAGAGAAATACACTACCGGCCAAATGTTTGGAATCACTGCAAGTTACACAAAAATCTCCAGAAAAAAGTAAGCAATTTTAAGAACTTTTTAACGAATTTTTTATAATTTATATCAATCGAAATGGGGTAAATTGCTATTGATCTCTACAACATCATTTCAAATCTATAAAAAATTAGCAACAGATTCAATATTCGTGTAAATTGACAAGTGATTCCAAATTTTTCGCCGGTAGTGTATATTTCATCCCGCAATTGAATCACGAAGAATCTTCATTTCCTAAACAAGGCAAAAAGTAGTGATAAAGTAATGATGAATAGGTTCGAAGTGATTTTCCCTCAACAATTCGAACGTCGATTTTCATTCTGCAGTGACGTGCACGATTTATTTTCGTCGATCGTCCGCCGCACAACAAGCATACACACGTATACTTTATTTATGCACTCCGTTAAGCCGGGTTCATAGGATCCGCGCCGCGACCTAATTTATGCAGCGGCGTGCACGGATCTGCGATGCATCATTCCTATTGTCCTCGTCGAATTCGCCGAATCGGGGCCAGAACTGTCAAAGTATTTCGATGCTGCGACAGCACAGAATCCGATGCATCGCGGATCCGACCAACCGCTTTCCCTCTTCGCGTAATCGCGTCGTTGCAAATTCCTCGATCGTGATTAAGGCGGATCAGTTAAGATGGCCAACTTTGAGGCTCAATTACGAGATGGAATATTCTAGTGAAATATTGTATTTTACGTGGATACAGTATTGCTCCATGCTTGGCTTTGAAATTTAGAGGAAAATTTTGGGGAGGAAGAAAGTACAGGAAGTGCAGAATTTTTTGGGTGTAACTTCAGGTTTTGTGCGAGGAATGAGTTGTTCGATTTTTTGAGAAACAGAGAAGGGAAAAATATGGAAAATCTAGGAAATATGGAAAAGTTTGAAAAATGTAAGGATAGACTATGAGTTATTCAATTTTTTTTAAAGAAATAGGGAATGGCAAAATGTGGGAAATACAGGAAATATAGAAAAGTTTGAAAAATCTAAGGATAGAATATAAAATATTTAATTTTTTTAAGGAAATGAGGATGGAAAAATGTAGGAAATACAGAAAAGTTTGAAAAATCTAAGCATAAAATATGTTATTCAATTCTTTTAAGGAAATAAGGATAGAAAAATGCGAAAAATGTAGGAAATACAGAAAAGTTTGAAAAATCTAAGGATAGAATATAAAATATTTGATTTCTTTAAGGAAATAAGGATGGAAAAATGTAGGAAATACAGAAAAGTTTGAAAAATCTAAGCATAAAATATGTTATTCAATTTTTTTAAGGAAATCAGGATGGAAAAACGTGGAGAATGTAGGAAGCACAGAAAAGTTTGAAAAATGTAAGAATAGAATACAGGTTATTCAATTTTTTAAAGGAAATAGAAAATACAAAAATATGCAAAATATAGAAAAATTTGAAAAATGCAAATTTCAAGTTTCAGGTATAGTTCAGTATAACTTATTCAATTTCCACAAATATACGGAAAACGTAGAAAATGCGCAAAGTTTGAAAAAAAATAAAATCTACTGTAAAAATTGTCAAGGCACTCTTCCAAAAATTGTATTCCTAATTTCTCGATAGAAATCCACAGAAGAATATAAAGAAATTAAAAAATAATTCATCCTTCAACATTCTCCACAATTTTTCTCCAAAGAGTGTACAAATTCTCAAATTATACGTTCTTGAGAAATTGAAAAAATAATACTTCCAAAATCATCAAATTAAACTGTCCTTCCAGTTGAACGAGCATTAACGTTATTACAAAAATCTGGCTTTTCCGCCCGGTGCCATTAGCAGCGCAACATTTTATCCGTTCCACAAAAGCGAGCGCGCGAAATGGCAGCGAAAACGACGCGCAATTTGAAAAATGCCCGCAAGATAGGCGGCCCGCCTCGAAACGAAACAGAATACAGGCGCGCATTCAAAGTTCCGATAACGGGCGCGCGTTTTAATGGTTTTACGATTGTCTCGTAAAGTGCATTAATAATGCCGGAAAACAGCCAGCCAATGGGAAATCCGATATCGATGCCTCGTTTCTCTTAAAATAATGCGTTTGATCTAAACGAAAGGCGATACGTACGACGCGTGAATAACACGCCAGCTCGTGAATCTTTCAATTTTCCATTCGTTCGATTCTGCAAATTTTACGAAAAGAAAATCCGAACGATTTCTGACGGAAAATTACTGTACAAAATTGCACGTTAAATGAAAAAAGAAGGTTTTCGTCTCGAAGAGAAATTTAGGATTCTCCAAAACAGTGAAATTAATATACGAGGATTTTTGAAATTTTTGTCATTCGAAAAATATCGCACAATGGAAGAAATTCTTTTGCAAATTTGCGCAAAGTGGAATTCAATATTCCTCGGTAAAGAAATGAAAAATGAAACTTCCAAAAATTGCATTGGAGTCTCTTTTATACATTGTTCCCAAGAATAGATAAGGATTAAATGAAGAAAAGATTTTCGACTCGAAGAGAAACTTACGACTCTCCAAAACAGCGAAATTAATGTATCGGTGCTTCCAAAATTTCCATAATTCGAAAAATATCGCAAAACGGAAAAAAGTCCTTTCCAAATCCGCCCAAAGTGAAATTCAACATTCCTCGCTAAAAAAAAAAAAAAAAATAAAATGAAACTTCCCAAATTTCTAGAACTCCCAAAAATCGGAACAATATTTTTCCCAAAAAACGATCAAAACAAAATTGATCGATTACACATCGCAGAATTCGTAAAATCGTACCTCCGATCGTCGAAATGGGAAAGAATTCGATAGCGAGGGGCGACAATGAGCAAAAACGTTAATCGATGGAATTCCACGATTTTCGTCGATATTCTCGAATCGTTCGCGTGTGTCACAGCTTCTCCCACCCTCTCTCTCTCTCTCTCTCTCTCTCCGAGAGTAAGAAGAAGTTAAAAGGAAGTTTGGTATAAAAGGGACGGGAAGGAGGACTGTGCACGGAGAGAAATTCCAGCGACGTCTCGCGTCCCCGAAGAGTTATGGCTCGGGGGACACGAAGAAACACGGCATGCATTTGCGAGTAACCGTATAATAGAGCCGCATTGTAGCGATGCCAAATAATTTCGCCAGGGTCAGCCCGAAATTTTCGAAATACAGAAATTGCACCTGAATCAAGCCGGAAGTGGCGGGGCCCCACCCGTCTAGTAAACTGGCCGGATAATATAATGGAAACGCGTAGCCGGAGAAATGAAGAGGGGCGTGGAAGAGGGAATTGTCTCGTGCTTTTGCGTTTAATAGCGTGGTAACGAGAAACAGAGAATTTGGAAAATATACGGTGAGAACGAATTGACTCGCACAGCGAGAAATCTGAACAAAGAGCAGATGAATCATGCTGAAATATACCTGTTACGCTTTAATTCTTATTCACTCGTTTTTTCAATCTTCCTTAATTTCCGCGGAGAGACACGGGGTGTTCCGTTTAAAAGGCACATGGTGGCTTTCGAAACTTCCATTATATCACGAATAAAAAATAAAAGTATGCAATTTTTGCTTCCTACACTTTTTCGTACAATGATTAGTTTAAGTGTAATTTCAGATTGTCAAACAGGTGAATTATCTTGCATAAAGAATTTCTCTAATGAAACAACTAATTTTCGTAAAAATGAAATATACAAGTTGCGGCTGGAAGTATTGCAAAAGCAGGCATATAGAGATTCCTTATGCAGAAATAAATAAAAAGTGTGGAATAAAATGTTTTCATTCAGAAAATAGATTTTCTCTAAAACAAAAAATTTTATCCCACATTGATTCTTTCTTTTGCATAAAAAATCACATTCTACCTGCTTGTAAAATGCATTTTCAATTACACTCCGTCAGAAAAAATTCGAATGCAAAAATTTTACCCCACATTCGTCGTTTATTTTTCATAAAAAGTCACTTCCTGCTTGCTTGCAAAATACCATCGATTGCGCTCCGTCAGAAAAAAGCCAGCAACATCGACAATGTCATTTTTACGAAAACAAAGATTCTCGTTCCGAAAAATACACCCACAAACGCAAATAAGAACGACCCAGAAAAATGGCAATTTCACACGGCACAACTTAATGCGTCGCGTATTATTTACATAGCTGTTTCCGGATTTATTTGCAGCTCCGAAATAGGGTACGCTGGTTCGCCGCCAAGGGAGGTTCTCACCAGGGGCAGGAGCATAGATTCCGTGGACAGGCCTTTTCATCCGAGCGACTGGGTCGACGTGAACCTCGAAGTGCCGAGCACACCGAGGCCGAGCTCCGCGCTCACGAATTTAACCGTCGACACGAGCCTCTATCCGGCCACCACCACCACCCCGACGTCCAGCTGTAAGCTCGCAATTTATCGTTAGCTCGTATTGCAAGCTGTATCCTTAACGAGAACATGCTCGTTCCGACATGCCCGCTGATAAGGATAGCGCCGCGTGTATCGCGAGCCGTCCTAACACGCTCACTCCACGACTGCACATTGGTCTGCGTTTTGTAAATAACAAGCACCCCTTTACCTCTCTCTCTTTCTCTCTACCAACCCTTGAAAACAGCAGGAGAAAAAAAATAGGCTGGAAACTATGTGTTTTCGGCGTGGCAAACTTTTTACCGCTATTTCCTACTCTGTTCTGCGGACTTTCGGCTCGTCGTTGCTTCTGCCAAGATATTTTCGATGTAATTTTTTTTTTTTTTTTTTTTTGGTTGTAAGTGTAAGTTGTTTTTGTTGTCAGTTTTGTAGAATTGGGTGTATTTTTTTGAGGGGAGGGTGGATTATTCGAGTCACTCAGTCACTGGCTAAATTTTTTTTTTAATTATGAGGGGTAAGTACTAAACATGTGGTTTGATACTAAAATTGGAAGAATTTCAAAAGGTGGAGTTCATCATTTTGGCTTCTGAATGGCTCACTTGAAGATCACCTGAAGTGAAGATATGTGTTTCAGGGGGTGAGAATAGCTTTTTGAGAGATTGCGGGAAGGTTGATTTGGAATCGAATACTTGTGGTTTTTAAAATAATTCTTAGGTAATTTAAATGGTTTCGAAAAAATGGCAAAAAATGAAAGGAAATTTCACGTTTGATTAAAAATTTTAGAGTCCAATAGGGTGTAATAAATTTCTTGTATCCAAATATTCTCGTTATTAGCTTTTACTCAAAAATAATCATTATCCAAAATATATTACCATTTCCTAAATTCTCAGGTTCAAATTTGAAAGATGTCACCCCGATTCCCCCTCCAAGGCGCAGGAAGCGGAACAAGGGCAGGCCCTTGCCGCCAAAACCGGACGAAATTACTGCGGAAAATCCAGCGAACGGTCAAAAACGACCCGAGACAGGCGACGAACCGTTATATTCGTCCGTAAGATCGCCAAAAAGCAGCGGGGATGAACAAGACACGGAAGAAGAGGGGAAACTGGACAAACATCGGTCGGAAGACGCGGAACGCGATGGAAGAAGAATGAAAGAGATTTACGAACACAAGGCGAGTACAGACTGTTGGAAATCTCCATTGTAAATGCACCCTGCGACTCGATATTCAAGGGAATATTTACCTCATCGTGTAAAACGGGCCGCGATTCGGCAAACAAAAGGAACAAGGCGTTCTTGCTCTGGGAATCTGTGAAACAAATATCCGGGGCGACATTAAAAAATATTCACGGATCGCGACGAATCGAATTTGTCGTTCCTTATTGGTGTAAGAGGGGAAATTGGATTACGGGTTTGTTGAATGTTGCTTTTGGGAGTCTGAGATTCTTGGGAGTTGTAGATTTTGGGTTTGTGATTTTAGTTTGGTGTCTTTTGCGGAGGGCGAATGGGTTTGGGAATTTTGATAAGGTGAGAAGTTTCAATTTTGAGGAGTTTGGAGTGTTGGAGGAATTTGAGGTGTTTGAGGGATTTCAGAAATTTGAGAAGTGAGAAAAATTAGAAGATTTGAAAATTTTAAATTCCGAAAGTTAGAAAATTTGAAAATTTGTAAACTTGAAAGTTTAGAAATTTGAAACTTTGGAAACTTGAAAGTTTGGAAATTTGAAAGTTCAGAAGTTTGAAACTTTAAAAATTTGAAACTTTGGAAATTTGAAAATTCGTGAATCCTAGAAATGGAAAAAATCAGACAAATAAAAATTTCTAATCTGCACACACAATCCTCCACCATCCAATACCCTCAGTGCAAAAAATAATCCCACTCATAACAAAATTTCAAAACTCATCATACGATCACCAATGCACCTCCCTACAAAAGTTACAATTCCTCCTTTCACCCTTCGTCGTAACGATTCGACCGATTTCCGGGGCGCAGGTTAACGGGACCGGAAGGATAATATCGAGCGACGTGGTTTCCGGCAAGAGGATTTTCGAGATCAACCAGCAGCAGCAACAGCAGCAGCAGCGTAAGGCTCATGAGAACGATGAGTACGAGAAATTCGCGAGGAACCGGACAAGCAAGGACTCGTCGACTCCTAATCGCGAGGAGAAGAAGAGGCCAAGGGAGGTCGAGAAGCAAATGAAGGATTTCTCGAGGGACGCAGAGGAAACGAGCAGTAACGCGAGGACTAAGAACTACAGCACCGTCAGTCTGCCGAATTACGACGAGTTGGACGTGGCTAGGCATCGTTCGAAGGGAAACGAGGACGGCCATGAGCAGCAGGAGGACAAAACGAGGAGGTCCAGGAGACCCGTCAGAAGCAGCACCGGATCCCTTCCGGCTGAATCTTTCCTCTCGCCGTTTTCAGAGGTACGCAACTTCCATTTTCAAGGGACGACGCTTGTCTTCGTCAGGTCCTTCTGCCTTTGACCAACTCGCGGATTTTTCTATCAGGAATTTCCCATTTTTCTTCCACCCATTTTTTCTTAATACTTTGCATACGGGGATTTTTTTAGGAATTAGAACGAGATTAATAATTCGAACAGACGTTTTCGAGAATTCATAATTTATTCGATGCGTTGGTTAACGTAACAGACAGGAGTCGACAGGGAAATGAATTTTGAAATTAAAATCTAAATTTCGGGAAAATTTCAGGAATTTTCAAAGTTCTGAAGATAGGAACGGAGCTGATAGAGTACACTATTATCTATATCATTTTGGCAGAGGATTTATAGGGTATCATCGCATAGTTAATAGTTTTCCAAACAGAAAAAATATGTACGCTTTTCACAGTTAAAGAGTTAAACTCGGACATTGCGAAGACCAGACGAGTTATATCCGATGAATTGAGTGAGACCATGTAAGAAAGATTGAGTAGAGTTTAAGTGGAACAGAAGGTCAGGTAGATCAGGTTGTTCAAGAACAGTAGTATATTAAGTGAGTTAAATGGATGAAGAAGTTCAGGTAGGTTAAGGAGATTAAACGTACCAGATGAATCAAATGGGCCAAGTAGATCAGATAGATTAAGGAGGTTAAACAGACCAGGTGAATGAAATGGAGCAGGTAGAACAGGTTGGTCAGATATGTTGCGTACACTACGGTACAGCAGGTGGATTAAATTGATGAGGCAGAACAAGTAGAAGGGTCAATTTAGACACACCTAATTGAGCAGGTAGCTCGGATAGATCAAGTGTATCAGGTGCACTATGATTCAGATAATTATTAAACGGTATCTACGCCATCGATTCTTCGCTAAAATATCACAAGTGCGATAAAACTTTATCTATCTATCATATATATATCTACGTAAATTACAAAGAAATTCTAAATTTCTAATATCACTAGTATTTTCATATCTTCAGTCACACCTTAATCTCATCTCACGTTAACGGTATCAACGCGATCAATTTTTCGCTAAAATATCGCAAGAACGGTAAAACTTTATTATCTCATTTCGTTAAAAAAAAAGATCCACGTGAATTACATAAAATTCTAAATTTCCAAAATCCCAAATATCTTCAGAATATTTTCCTATCTTCGATCACACCTTAATCCCATCTCACGTTTTTTAATTCGCGACTAAGAAACACGCGCGCATAACACAGGAATTTCTTTTCTAATTCTCAGAAAACGAGCGTTAGATTGGAAGACTACATCCCGAGATCTGCAAACCTCTCTTCGTACCAGGTCCTCGAGAAACTGGAATGTGGGCCTAACGGTGTGGTTAAAGACAGCATCGTGAAGTACGATCCCAGTAAATCGGACGACTGGGAGCTAGCTGACACTGATGCTTGTGAATTGAATCATCCAGGACGATTCTCCTTTGAGGTACGCCATATAATTGACACTTCCTCTTGTATAACGTAAATGCTTACAGTAAATACGAGATATGCACCTACGTATAGATAAATAGATGCACATCGAACATGTATACACAGACAGCCAGATCAAAGCAAGAGACACAAGCAAATAGATAAATAGATACGATCAGAGAAACACATAAATTCGAGCTGCATAAAATTACACGAACAATCAAATGCATAAATATAAACTACAGTCCGTAGAAAAAATATAGATCGATCGTTTAAGATCGTTAACCCTCTACTATCGAGACACCGTTTTTGGGACGTAAAGCCCGATACGGAGTCTACGAAACTCCTCAACTTTCTTACTGATTGAGTAGACTTAGATCACGAGAGAAAATATTCTGATAATTTTTAACGAGGCCTGAAGCGGTCACGCAGTACTTTATCTCGAACGTTATGGTATATAAGAAAACTTGGTTGATAGATCAGTGCTCGGACTGATTGAATAGCTGGTTGTTCGTTGGTTGGCGTTTGGAACAAGACAGGTTCGAAATTCGGAAGAGGACATGCATCTAAGTTACCGAAGGCGGCGTTAAATTCGGGAGGTGAAAAAATGGGAGAATATAGAAAATCGATTATTGGTCGTAGCTGGAGAGGTGTCTGGGGTTTGGGAAATTCCGGAAAAAAAGGAGATCGGACATGGAAGAAGGAAAGTACTACCTTAATAGTTAGGAAGTCGGAACAATAGATCGTAAAAACGAGTCTTGAAAACGCTGTTCGTTTATGATTTTACCGAGGGTCCGTGTCTCTAACCGTCTCGGCTAATCCTATGGGCCGCGGGGTCCTTCAGGTCCATTTTATAACTGCCTTGAAATCTTAAACTAAAGAAAAGAAAATGTTCGGTACGGAACACCGATGACAGCTTTTCTTACCGATTTACCTTTATCACACATTTTCCTAATGAACGTTGTAGAACAGAGTAGTTGGTTGTATCAATTTGATTTTAATACAGTAACGTTGAGTTCTAAATAGAACGGAAGGAAACAAAAAAGGTAGAATCAGCGGAGTCTCTGAGACTCCGCCTCGACGGTAGAGGGTTAATTAAATCACAAATTAATACTTCACACACAAGGTAGCATGTGACAATTTATTTTCATCGATTGGAACTGAATCTGAGGGGAAACCTGAGATAATATTTCATGCTAACTCGACTGAGATAAGTGGAAAGAAAAAGAAATGGATGGATAAATAACTGGATACAGAGGATAATACCAGATAAATATATACAAGAGAAGGATTTTCAGGATATTGCAACGATCAGCGAGGACAAGAAGATCCGTGAGGACGAGGAGGACGTCGTCGACTTCTCGAATCCTCGAGAGGACGAAAGAGGAGGAGCCAGGTTGGATCGAGATGGCTCCAGATCACCGATCTACTTGCAGAAACCGGAGGCGTTTGGAAAAACACCATCCCCGGTACTTGGCGAGCCGGAGTACACCGAAGTGGATCCAAATAGGTCGGTAGAGATTATCTATGCTCAGTGTTCCGAGGATTAGGCGGGTTTAATTGGGGTGCCCAGATGCCAACCGGCGTAAGTCCATATTCCGTGGTCTTAACGTTCTCTGCTCGATACACTATAATCTTCCCTCGCAACTTTGCAAACTTATTATATTTACTCGCGTGTGCATTAACACATCTGTTCGAATGTTCCGTTATTTTCACTTATTAAATGGAGAAAATATTTGTAATTTTTTTCCATTTTATTTAGTATACATGGGTGGCTTTGCAATTGTCTCGTGATAGCTTTCTTAATCTCTTAGCTACGGCAGGACTTTCCGCGGTGCTGCGCCTCTGTACGCCACAATTTGACGCGGAATGTGCCTAAATAATGCAGTATTGCGACTTGTGTCTGGCGCTGCTTTCCACTACGAAATTACAACAGAATAGAGATTGTAGATGAATAAATAATAATTTATTTATGCGCGAAAGTCTAAGAGGTTAAACCTCGCGCTTCGCGACCGCTCTTTCGCGCGTTCAGACAACGAGTGAAGCTCTTCGGTAATTTTTTTTTGAGTCTCTACCTACGTTCCCGAATAATACGTCTCTGATTAGCGTCACATGTCATAGAATTGTCAGCGAGACCTGAATTCTGTCCTGTCCAATCGCATAGATCGCGTACTTGGCTCGTCTTCGACCTTTTATCTTTTATCCTTGTCTCACGTATTTGAAGAGTTTCGAGAGCATTAATGGTGTTTTTTTTTTTTTTTTTTGCTGGTTTCGTTATTGTAGATCTCACTTGAGGTATTTCGAGCCACCAAAGTTGCCGGACACTTGCAACATTTCGTCTGTCTGCGAGTCAACAGGGTCCAAGGAGCCGTTTTTCTTGGACGAGACGAAACATCGTTCAGCTTTAGGTAAATAGAGCTGAAAGAGGGTAGATGTGGTCTGTTTTGGAAAAACACTGGCAGATGTAAGAGGGTTTAGTATGTCAGCCTGTCGATAGTACTTTTTCTTTACAAGACACTAAAAGAAGGATGAGAGAGACGATGCGAAGGAAGCAGAAATAAATTTCAAAGATGCTCTGGAAACTGAATGATAAATTCAGAGTCTTAATCACTAGTAACACCACGATTTAAGACCAATTAAACCTCAATTAGATACCTGAATCTTGAACAATACTGCCATAAAAATTAGTTAAAACTATTTTAACTCTCTATAACGCCGTGTGATTTGCATGTTTCGTGTCCATTTATCAAAACCTCCATAAAAATTAACCTAATTACCTCTAATTACTCTAATTACAACTACTGTACCATCAAATCTTAATTAGCGAACTAAAATGTAAATCTTAGACACTCCAAGCCTAACATTCCATTGAATCCTTACTCTCCTTGCTCTAACGCCGACATTTTGCTTATCAAAACTACGTTGACCCTTTATAACGCCACGTGACTTAAAGTCCATTTATCTATACTTTCCAATTTTCCCGCAATAAGTCCAAATTCCTCAGATACCATTCAACCACAATAGTCCTTCTCACGAAGCAAGAAAAATCAGGTTACAGAGGTTTCAGAGATCGTAGTCACCGCTTCGCAACTTCCTTTACCAATCATGATGGAAGAGAAAGGACTCAACTATCTCTGTACGTGACTAGTTAAACCTTGCGCGTTCCATTTGCCAGATACGATCGTGTTGTCCAGCGGCGAGAGGCCAGAGTCCGATCGATCCGACCAATCGAGGATGATGTTCACCAGGAGTCTGTCGAACGAGAGCGAGCCAAACGAAGACGCGTACGAGTCCAAGGATCTCCATTGTCGCTCGTCCGGCCTGATCAGAACCATCTCCGAAGAGTCTCTACCGCGAGAGATGCTGGAGGAGCAAGAACTGGACAAGTTGTTCGACGAGAAACTAGCTAAAGACGTGCACAACAAGCTGAAGAAGAGCATGGACGACTGGAAGACGAACACACCGCCACCTAGTCCCGAGCCAAGGATCAAATCCGAGCTCCTGGACTCCGATCACTCGACCTTGCTCAAAGTGCTGAAAGAAGAAGCTGCCGAAGAAAGTAACCTGAGCTCGATGACTCCTAGCCTAACAGAGCTGGAAGCAGCTCTGTCCGATATGTTGGAGAAGGAGGAATCGCACGAAGGAACCAGAGAGGAGAATAAATCTGGTGTAACGATCGAGAAGCCCGAGTTCCACAAGCATTCTGACGGTTCCAAGGATCAAACGGGAGGATCAAAGATGAACGATCAGATTCTAGTCGAGCAGGAGTCTAACAGAGAGGTCCCTACGTGTTTGAAGCAGATCCAGGAGGACAAGAAACCGGCTAATAAAAGGAAAGTCTCGTTTTGCTCGTGGGAGGAGTCTGTAGCAGAGACAGAGGCAAGGAATGTCCGAGAATTCATCGAGGACTCGATGGATTTGGATAAGAAGGGTATTCTTCGACTGGACGAGGACGGAGGATTCGAGAACATGGTCGTTTCCATGGATGTCCCACCGGAGAAACCGAGCAGGTTGAACAGGAGTCTAGAGGATCTCATGGAGAACACGGAAATCGTTCCTACGCCACCTAGAAGGAGGAACAGGAGTGTCGGTGTGGCAAGGAAGGAGCCAGAAATGGCGCAAAATGGCACCGCCATTACCGAGGCGCTCCCAAATGATAGACTCATTTAATTGTCGTTAGTGATGATGATTGTTCAGGGTGTACTTAAAGGGACCATTACTCCAAGAATGTAAATGGACACAGGTTGATTAGGTAAATTATGATAATCGATAAGTTTCGACGATGTTGACGATTTATGGATACTTTTATGTGTTGTTGTTGATGTAACGAGGATCGTAATAAAGGATTAAGCTGCTCGTTCGATTATTTCGAGAGAGTCGAGTCGGTGAACCTTTCGCCAAGTCTCCGGGAGAAACTTTCTAACGAACTTGCCCGTTCACGAAGAAACGACGCGTCCCGAGGAAATCGCGAAACTTCGTTCCTAAAGTTTTCGATCAATGGGATCGCAGGTGTTCGCGTCTTATTGTTGTTCGGGGACTCGTCAGATTGTTTGTCCCTTGATGAAGGGGTTGTTCTGTCGCCTCAAATTAGGCTTCTACGATTCTAATTACTCGTGGCTGCGGCATTTTTCAAGTCTTCGCCAGAATCTCTCGGTATTTGATAATTCATTTCTCTGATTCGGTGCCTTTTTTTTCGCAAACTGAAATATTGATTTACAAAAAAATCAAACACAATTCTAATATTCAAAATGATCATTATTTTGAAAGACTTTCCATTTATTGGACAACTTACGAATTTCTTTTCCGAAGAAATATAGTGATTCTGAGTCGATAAAGTCTGCGAGATTAACAAAAAAAAAAGGCACCGAATCAATTTCTACAGCTGATACTAATTATCGTGGATTTTGGAACTTCTGAAAATTTTATTTTTTTTTGCTCTGTTTATCACGAGATAGATTAGGCAATTTTTTCTCTATCGTTGAAAGTATCGAGACTCTTTAAGGAGCGATGTCAGTTCGGTCGAAACTTTCGAAAGAGTATCGAAAGACAGAAAATACGATACGAACGAAGTAAGTTGACAAGTTTGTGGGAATATCGCGGGAAGAATAATTTGTACTTTCTTTTTGATATTTGTTCGAAGTCTGAAGGTACGGATGATCGAATAACGATCTTAAAATTCCGCTGATGCCGGCTGTTCGAACGGTTTTGCAACTTGGACTGTTCATCGAGTGCTTTTCACGTGCGAGCCGTCGATATCCGGCGACTTCGTTAGCTGAATATTTGGCGTTCCATTTGCGATCAGCTACTTGAAATGAAATCCCTGATGAAACCTGTTCGCAGAAACTGCCACGAGTTGCGATATAGTTTCTATGACGCTTTGACGGACGTAGCATCAAAATCGGGTCTATAAATCGGACGATCGTTCGTGCTGGCCACTTGTTTCTAAGAGGCGACCGTTCCATCTGTTATTCTCGTTGTTAAATCACATTTATTTCATCCAATTTTTCCTATATTTTATACTAATATAATTATCATTTTATCCGAGGGAGAACTCTTCCTCAAATTCAAAATTTCACTGCAATGTGAAGATTCGTAATTCTGAAATTCTCACTGAAAATCTATTACATTAAACTTCACGAAGAATAGTACTCTAAAAGATTTCCTACTTAAACTATTAAATCCCAATAAAAATCATTCACAGTGCTCTAAAAATTCCACGAAGAATAGTACTCTAAAAAATTTCCTACTCAGCTCCCAACTAAAATCGTCCACAGTGCTCTAAACAATAGACCATAATATTTTCGAGATACTGTACCCTTAATTTATGCAAAAAGAAATCAATTTTTTGGCAAATTCAAACCGAATTCCCCTCTCAAGGGCTAATCACGCACACACCCGTGGGATTCACTGTAAAATAATCGCTCTACCGTGCATCCCCACGTAGAAAGTTTGATATAACGTCGTCTCGGCCGGAGCCTCTAAAAATAATTTCTTCGTGGATGACGAAGAAGCAGAAGAAAAGGACGAAACGGTAGAAGAAGGAGGAAGAAGAAGTTCGCTCCGCGGCTTTGCTCGAACGATCTGAGCCGGTTCCGCGGCGTTATCGCGATCAGATACTCGACGCGAATATATACGAGGTAAGAGTGTAGGAAGAAGGAGAAGGACGAGCCAGAGGTCCAGTTGATTCTTCGAGGTCAGCGTTTGGAATTCAGGAAGCAGCCTGTTCGGAAGAAAAAGCGGAACGTGATTGGACCAGCCGGAAGGAGCAAGTTTCTCGCCACCTCGACGGAAAAAGGGACGACCATCCGCATCCCTCTCTTTCCTTGCACACTCCAGCCCTCCAGCGAGATTAATCTCGTTCGAGCTCGAGCAAGCTAAGTGCTCGTGACACGAAGCGCGTACGGGCGCGGCGAAAAAGGGCCGCGCTAATTATTCCTCGTGTACAGGCTACCGGAAGAACAGCCTCCAGGGTTCAATTCGGCTATTTCAACCCGAATGAGATAAAAAGGGTCGCGTATTTAGAAAGAATAAAATAAAGAATATTGCACATTTGCTGTTTTTCTTTTTTTTCTTTCGGTTCTAGTATTTTTGGGTGAGACAGGAAATAAAAGGACGTCTGCGGGGAAAATTTAATAGGAACGATTTGTCTGATTAGATCACAAGAATTTTTATATTAAGAAACATTTCAGTAAATTCATTTTTTGGTCGGAAAATCTAAATTATTTTGAAGAATACTCTGTTATCTGATTCTTCAGGGGCGATTTTTCGGAATTTTCTCAATGAAGGCATAATTGACCGAATTTTTAGAAAATTGATTGCACAAAATTTCGATTTTTCGAACGCTCGTGGTATTCTCCATCTTCATACGAGAGTTTCTTAATCGTAACCTAATAAGT